ACTGGAAGAGCCTTGCAGGGATGCTGGGACACGTGGACATTTCCAGCAGCTCCCTCTGGTCCAGCAGGAATGGCTGCCAGCTGGAAATCCACATGGATAAAAGCCTAATCACTCCTTTGTGCCCAAACTTTCCCTCTGCAGGAGCACACAAGGAGCTCATTGCCATGGGATAACCTGTGGCAGCTGCCAGAATTCCTGATATCAGCTGGGATTGTCCCAAAGTGCTCCACACGTGAGCCAGGCAAGGTCCAGCTGAGCCCAGACACGCTGGAATTGCTCCAGCAGCCAAGACAAAGCAGCTTCAAAGCCAAAGCCAAGCTGGGCAGGGACTTGGGTTGTGCCACCTCCCAGTCCTTAGTCACTCACAGCCAAAAAAAGGTCCTTGGATCAAATGCAGGGGGAAAACATCAACTCAGGTTGTGGAAATTTTACCTGAGCTGTCCCCACACACTCCTGGGTGGGACATTGGGCTGTTTTCCATGTGGAGCTGCAGCGTAAGAGCCAAAGCTCTTAGAGACAGCCCAACCATGGGGAAAGGTCACACAAGGAGCAGCTGAGGGCACTTGGAATGTGCAGCTGGAGGAGCCTGAGGGAGACCCTGAGGGGCTGCAGCTCCAACCTCTGCTCCTGGCACGGGGTTGAGGGAGGGATAAATTTCTCATTATTGGCAGTGATTTCTCAACTTGGGAATTCCATGGTTCAGTCCCACCAAGGTCAGCACTGCTGGATGCTCACCAAGCTCCAGCAGAGTGAAGATTTAAGCCATGTTCACATATCAGATGTGATTTGGGATAAATCCACCTCTTTGCTTTTTTTTTTTTTTTTTAATATTTATTTTTCACATCTCCATTCAGCTCCAAGGCAGAGCTTTGCAGGAAAGAATCTCTGTGTGTGTGTGGATGATCCTGAGATGTTTCCCACTGGCATCTGTTCCCCAAAAAACCCACCAGGAATTCGAGGAAGGAGTTCCTCCTTCCATCCTTCCTTGTCTTAAAAATTGTCCAAGCCAGGATGTGGGAATAAATGGAAGAGGAAAAAGCAAAGTCCTCATTCTCCTTGGGTCAGCAGTGCTGGACAGAGCTCCAGGAGGGTTGGGACAACATTCCCAGGGAAAAACTGGGATTGTTGGGGGGTCTGGGCAGGGCCAGGGGTGGGACTGGATGATCCCTGTGGGTCCTTCCCACTCAGGATATTCCAATTCCCTCGTGTGAGGTCCATCAGTTCCCCATTAGTCTTGAAGACTGAGGTTAATAATAGTTAATAAATATTAACTATTTAACTATGTTGTGTGTGCTATAATTAGAGGATACAACAAGTTGCTGCACCCTTGGAAGCAATCCTGCCAAGACTGGAGCTGGGATCCCAGGGAACCGTGAAGGATTCTCCCCCACACAGAACATTTGCAGGGCAGGAAAAAGCCAGGTGGAATTGCTGATTCCCAAGAGCAAAAGCAGGGAAGGAAATGTTGGGATCCCTTTTTGGATGTTGGATCCCCTGGGAGCTTTGCCTCCCTCCAGCCTGGGGTGATTCTGGCAGAAGTCTCAGACTAAAAGCTTTCAGTGGGACTAAAATTAAGCTGAGCTTATCTCAGTTAAAGTCTAATGACAAAACTGTCCTGTTGAAGGTTCATATTTTCATTTTAAGGACCTCAGAAAGCCCAGAGCCCTGAGATCCCTATTCCAGCAGCCACTTGAGTCACCTCAGAACCTGGGAGAGTTTGGTTTATTTCCCTTAAAATCCCTTAACAGCTCCTTTCCTGATCCGTCCACAGGGACTGCAGCTTTTGTTTAAACCCACACAGCCTTCATGTGAATAAAAGCAACCCTAAAGGTGCAAACACTGCAAGTTTAGAAGCCAGTTTTGAATTTTAAGCCTTTTATTTTGTGTCTTCAACACCTGGCACTGGTGACAATGACAATATCAGAAACACAGACCTGTGCAAGGGAGGTACAGCCTGAACCCTGCTTTGGAAAAGAGGAATTTTATGGAATAGGAGAGGAGGAGAGACCCTGTGCTCTGTAGGCACCACAGTGACCTGACTCGTTTTTTGGGATGGGAATATTTCCAAGAGGTTCCTGAGCAGATCTTCTGGTGTTGAAGTGGCACTTGGGGACAGGCTTTGGGGTGATGGTGGCACTGGATGATCCTGGAGGGCTCTTCCCACCTTGATGACTCTGGGATACACCAAGCACTCCAAGGCCCTCTATCCTTGCTGCCTCCTCTCCCTCAGAGATGAAACTGAACTGAATTCTCTGTTCCTCTTTTAAATGTATTTTTAAATTATGTGTCCAAGGAGCACCTGGAGGTGGCACTGAGTGCTCTGGGCTGGGGACAAGGTGGCCATGGGGCACAGCTGGGGCTCCATGGGCTGGGAGGGCTGTGCCAGCCCCAGGGATTTGGGAATTCTGGGATTCTTTCAGAATTCCAGGCCCCCAGCTGGTCTCTGAAGGAGAAACAGCAGCAAAGCTGAGCTCCTGTCTCCCCCCAGTGTCAGCAGATTTTTCCTGCTCGAGCTGTGGCACAAGGGACTCCCAAAGGTGAAATCACCTGGAAGCTGAGAGAGCACAGCTCAAATTCCCCATGGAACAGCAGGGAGCAGCCATGGCTCAGTTTGGGAAGGGACAGGACTGGGACAGCCATGGCTCAGTTTGGGAAGGGACAGGACAGGGACAGCCATGGCACAGTTTGGGAAGGGACAGGACTGGGACAGCCATGGCTCAGTTTGGGAAGGGACAGAGGAACAGGACTGGGACAGCCATGGCTCAGTTTGGGAAGGGACAGGACTGCACAAAACCTTCTCTTATCCTGGAAATTATTGGATGTCCCCCATCCCAAGCTCTGATGCTACACTGAAATTTAGGAATGGCCTCAAGCAGGAGGAAGGCAGGGATGGATGGGATGGATATTGGGAGAAAATTCCTGGCTGAGAGGGTGGGGAGAGGCTGGGATGGAATTCCCAGAGCAGCTGGGGCTGCCCCTGGATCCCTGGCAGTGCCCAAGGCCAGGCTGGACACTGGGGCTGGAGCAGCCTGGCACAGGGGAAGGTGTCCCTGCCATGGCAGGGGTGGCACTGGCTGATCCTTAAAATCCCTTCCACTCCAAACCACTCTGGGATTCTAAAAATCAGGCTGGAGCAGGTTTGAAGTCTTTTACCTGCAAAGATTTGTCTGATTTGGCTGCAGAGGCAGGAATGTGCAGTAATCTGCAGGATTTCTGAGGAGACTCCTCGCTGCTCCTTCCCCCATATTCAGGGGCAAAAAAAAGAGCATTAATTCCCTTCTTGCACATCTTTGGCAGGGATGGTTTTAAGCTAGACTTGATTGCTTTGGGTGCTAAATGGTGCTAAGTGGCTTTGGTGGTAAATAGATATTGTGATTTCTGCTCACAGAGCAGTAGTTGAAAAGCTCCAAAAAAACTCCCTCATCACTATTATTATTTTTTTTTTTCTAGAAAAATCTACTCTGGACAGCCTAAAAACTCCAGATTTGGGCTAATATCCAAAACCAACCAGTGAATGCACAGAGCCAAGCCACTGGTGTCACCAGAGCTGACAATTCCCTGGGGAGGTTTGGGGGAGTGCCTCCAGCAGAATTCCTGTGTTCCCTCAGGGAGGTGGGCACCAGGCTGTTCTGGCACCACTTGAACTGAATTCAATCCCCCCCAGTTCACCTTGGCATGCACAGGTGAGTGCTGGGAGCAGAGGGGAACTGCTGGATTCCCTGGGATTCTGGGAATTCCTGAGCCTGGCAGCCCTGAGGAGCTGGAGCAGGGTATTTCTCTAGGATCCAGCAGGATACAGCACAGCAGGACATTTCTCTGTGCTGGGAATGGCTTTCTGCACTGCTTTTGTTCTCCAGTCTCCAAGGAGACAGCAGGAAAAGGGAGATTTGAACATCCCTGCACTTCCAGGGAGCTCCCTGAGCATCCCCTGTGCTCCCTGCTCAGGTGAGGGCTGGGCTCAGGGCTCCTCCAAGGGCTCTCCAGCCTTCTCTTCCCTCCTCTCCCCACTGCACTGCAAAAATTCTGCTTCTCCTTAACTACCAGAAGCGTGTAGGAAGTGCTTTGGAATGGAAATGGGGATGTGAAGGCACCTCAGGCACTGCCACACCTGAGCCTTTATTGCTGTGTTTCTCTGTTTCTCTGTTGATGAACAGAGAAATAAAATCTGCTCTGGAGCCAGGCTGGGAGAGCTGGGAGTGTCCAGGAGAGGGAAAAGCTCCAGGAGAGGGAGAGCTCAGAGCCCCTGGCAGGGCCTGAAGGGGCTCCAGGAGAGCTGCAGAGGGACTGGGGACAAGGGATGGAGGGACAGGAGCCAGGGAATGGCTTCAAAGTAGGATTTGATGGGATCGGGGCAATGAGGAATTGCTCCCTGGCAGGGTGGGCAGGGCTGGGATGGAATTCCCAGAGCAGCTGGGGCTGCCCCTGGATCCCTGGCAGTGCCCAAGGCCAGGCTGGACACTGGGGCTGGAGCAGCCTGGCACAGGGGAAGGTGTCCCTGCCATGGCAGGGGTGGAACAAGGTGATTTTAGGTGATTTTGGGTCTCTTCCAACCCCAACCATTCCAGGATTCCATGCCCAAGTTCTCCAGGATTTGGTGCCACTGCAGAGGCAGGAACAGCTGCCTCCAGGCTGAGCAGAGAACAGGGAACCAAAGAGATTTCTCAGGATAAACCTCTTGCCATGAAACTCCTTCTGTGATCTCCAAGGAGCCCAGGAAGTCCTGGGTGCACCAAGTGCCTGGAGCTGCTCCTCTCCTGATTCCATGCAGGTCCCACACCTGACCCTTGCAGGAAGCACCTGCAAAAGCTGCACTGAGCTCTTTCCACTTCCTTCTGCCTCTCCACGAGCTTTGGAGCCTCCCAAGATACATCCAGAGGATTTTTCTCCTCCATTTTTCCCTCCAGAGTGTTTTCCTCTTCCATCCCAGCCACCTCCTTGCAGCTGATCTTTCCCAAGTGCCTCCCCTGCAGCTCCAGTCCTTTGAGGAAGCAGCACCCACGTTTATTTTTTAAACAAAGACTTTTTTTTTTATTGCATAAATAGAGGCTCAGCTGCTTTGCTGTACATATAAAAACAGAGATAATTTAAGTGTCACTCTGAGGTTACCCATCCTTCTTTTCCAGGAAGGCTTCATCCTCCTGGGAAGGCATTCCAAGTGTCAGGAACCTGCAGGGTGGGGACAGAGCAGTGAGAAGAGCAGGCACAAGAGGGAGAGCACAGGGGCCCCAGTGCCCATGGAGCTGTTCCCAGCTCCATGGGGGAATTGCTCCCTCTGAATCCCAGAATTTAGGAAGGATAGAACCTCTGCTGGGCAGCTCTGGGGACTGGGAAGAGAATTTCTGTGGGATCAGAGAGGTTTGAGCACCAAGGGTGGTGTCACCTGCTGGGCACTGAGGTTTTGGGGCACAAATCCCTGGAGCTGTGGGGTTTGCCAAACAGAATTCCCTGGGATAACATTGCACAGAACCCCAAAATCCCAGCCTGGTTTGGGTTAGAGGGATCTTAAATCTCATCCCATCCACCCCTGCCATGGGCAGGGACACCTCCCACCTCCCCAGGCTGCTCCAAGCCCTGCCCAACCTTTCCTTTTCCAGGGAAGGGCCCAAAATCTGCCCCAAAGCCAAGTCCTGAATCTGCTGGAAGCAGGAGACTGAAAAATCCCTTTGGTTTTGGTTTTTTTGGGGGGTTTTGTTTGGTGTTTTTTGGTTTGTTTTGGTTTTTGTTTTTTGTTTTGGGGTTTTTTTTGTGTGTGTAAATTGAAAAAAATTCGTTCTCATGGTTATTCCCAGGGCCTCATTTTTAGGCACAATTCCCAATCCTTGGGAATAAAAGGAATAAAACAGTGACAGGGTGGAAATAAAATCTAGGAAAGATTTTAAGTGTCTTTAGATGGGAGGGGATGACCTCAGAAAGGGAAATAAGATTTTATTTCAATAAAGAGCAACATGACATCAAACTCCCACTGAGCTTCCAAAGGGCAGGCAGGAATAGAATTCCCATTTTGCTGCAGAACAGGGAGAAGTGAAGCAAACTGCTCCAAAAATGACAAGCAAGGCAGGGAATAGAATCCAAGCAGCAGGCAGGACTCATTCTGCTCATGGATTTGCTCCAAGAATGCAGGGATTGCTTCAACTTTGGAAACAGAAGGGAGGAGCTCAGGAATTTCAGAATGAAAATCCCAAATGTAGGGAATTTTGTAATGTTCATTTTGCTCTTTCAAGCAGAAAAAATGTGCATTTTTCTCAGGGAGTTCTACGTGGTGGATGTTCCATGGCAGAACCTGTCCCTTTGGGAATTCCAGGTGTGGAATTTTCCCTTTCCAGCTAAACCACCCCCAAGCTGTCAATAATTCCACTCCTCTAGAAAGGCTGATTATTTTCTCTCTTTATTTTGTGACTTCAGGCTCAGAGCTCTGATTGCAGCATCCTGCCTGGCTGCTCCCCTGCAGTTCTTCCCAATTTATCCCCCTCTTTGTGCACCAGGCACAAAAACCCAGGGAATATTGTGCTAAAACATCCTCAAACAGGACAGTGGCTCATGTAACTCCCACAAAGAATGAGAGAACAAATCCCTTGAAACATCCCAAATATTCCAAGAGCTCATTTTGGGATCCAAAATCCAAATCAATCCCACTGGGATTAGCAATGCCATTGTCCAAGCCCAGGAATTGGGATCAGTTCCATACCTGAAGCACTCTTCACTCATCCTTCTTCTCTCCTTCTGCTTTCAGTTTCTCCTCACGTTCCCTCTTCAGTTTCTCCTCAATTTTCTTGCTCTGGTACATTTTGACTCCAGCAAAGGCCAAGCAAAGGATCAGTGTTTTAGCTGCCAAAATGTACATCAGCAGTGGGAAGTTCTCCAGAGCCTGGAATGCCAAAAAATCTGTTTAGGCACTTCTGGAACTCTTGGGCAATTAAAAATGAATTTATAGGGATGTTCTGCATCTTCCATTCCAACATTAATGCTCCTCTCTCACCATGATTTTTATTTCTGTGGGGAATTAAACCAGGCAGAGCAAGAAAGCCAAAGAAAAATCCCCTTCCCTCAAGTCCTGAACTCCTTTTGCTCATTTTGCAGCAATATTTGCACCATCTGGAGCTGAAAGAAAAGGGAAGAGCTGAGTATTTTAGGGAAATTGTGAAAGTGGAAATGCTTCTGAAGAATCCTCACAGGTGATGGATCCCTTGGCATCAGCTCTCAGAAGGGATCCCCAAAAACACTCCAGGAAATCTTAATTCACAGCAATTTTGTAATGAACCTGCTCAGATATGGAAAGTGTAGATAAATGCCTTTAAATTGGCAGAAAAGTGACAAATCCAAGGATTGCTGTACCAGTTCTGAATGCCTGGAATTGCACAGAGTGTTTCAATTCTATAAAAACATGGACTTGGAGAGGAAAATCCAGTGGAAATGGGTGGTGGGCACTGAGCAGACCCCAGGGATGGGGTGGGGCTGTGTAGGGCCAAGGCTTGGACTGGGTGATCCCTGTGGCTCCCTTCCCACCAGGATATTCCAAGGTTCTGTGGTAACTCTGTGAACTTGGAATTCACCCTGTTCCCTCAGGATATCCCAAAGCTGTCAGGACACATCAAAGCTCTGAATTTGGGCCAAGCCTTGTGTCCCTACACCAGCAGGGAGCTTGGAAAAACAGCACCAGGCTCTGCCAATCTCCCCACAATCACAGAGGCAGCAGCTCTGAACCCACAGCTCTGCAACACCAGGGCAGGGGGAAAATTTGATTTAATGAGTTCAAATTGTTAATTACAGAGTCATGGAATGGTTTGGGCTGGAAGGGATTTCAAACCTCATCCAGTTCCCCTGTGCCAGGCTGCTCCAGCCCCAGTGTCCAGCCTGGCCTTGGGCACTGCCAGGGATCCAGGGGCAGCCCCAGCTGCTCTGGGAATTCCATCCCAGCCCCTGCCCACCCTGCCAGGGAACAATTCCTCATTGCCCAGATCCCATCCAGCCCTGCCCTCTGGCACTGGCAGCCATTCCCTGTGTGCTGTCCCTGCATCCCCTGGGAATTGTCTCTCTCCAGCTTTCCTGGGGCTCCTTCAGGCCCTGCAAGGCCACCCTGAGCTCAGCCCAAAGCTTCTCCTGTGCAGCTGAACAATCCCAGCTGTGCCAGCCTTTCCTGCCAGCAGAGCTGCTCCATCCCTCTGCTCATCCTGGAGCTTCCTCTGGGATCTCTGCAGCAGCACCTTGCAGGAGGTACCTGCCCCAACACTGTGGTGCCTGACACAAGGACTCCAAAACCCCCAAAACCCCTAAAACCCAGTGGAGAAATTGCCCTCCAGTAACAAAAGCAGCTGAGGGAAGAGCAGCCAGAGAAAAACCTGGAAAGAGGAAAGGCAGGAGCAGCAGGGCTGAGCAGAGCTCAGGTCTAACATGGGAGGCCCCAACAGCAAATCCGGGGGCAAGCACATCTGGCAAGGAAGGACAAGAAGAAATCCCCTGTCCCTGAGAGTGTGGGGGTTAAACAACCCTCCCCTGGGTAGGGAACCATCAGAACCCACCCAACACATCCTCCATGCAAAGAGCAGCCTTCCCTGCTTTGGGAACCTGCCCCAGCCTCACCTTCCAGTTAAAGGCCACCATCTCAGCTGTGGGGTGCCCAGGACTGGGGGGGTTACACTCCTGGAGGCACAGGGCAGGGCAGGAACATCTTGGAGACATGGAAAACAAAGCAGAATGAACTCTTGCAGAAATGGAAAACAAAGCAGAATGAACTCCTGGAGAAACAGAAATTCAAAGAGAATTAGGCAAGCTGCTAATTAGCCCACCCTGCCCTGGGAGGGGCTCATCCCCAGCAATCCCCAGTGACCTCAGGGCCTTTCTGGGGCTCAGGGACAGGAGCAGGACAGGGCTGTGACATCCCAGAGCAGGTGCTGGGGCTGGAATTCCACACCCTGACAGCTGCCCCATGGAAAACATGGAAAGCACGGCTGCCTTTGGAAGCTGGAGCTGTGTGTGCTGCCCCTGCCTGCTTCTGCTGGGACTGAGGACACACAGGAGCTGCCCTGGGGCTTCTCTGAGGGTTTCCAAGCCCACCTGCTCTGTTTGGAGCCTGAACATCGAATTAATCCTCGAATTTCTCAGTCCTCTGTGGTTGATTAATTTAATTCTCCATACTAACAGTTTGTAAATACAGAGGTTAGCAAGGCAAGCGCTCCCTGGAGCCCTGAGTGGTCACCAACCATTCCAGAGCTGAATTCCTGGGATGAAAAGCCTGCAGCACACACAGCACTGCCCTGGGCTCTCTGCTTAGCTGCTGGAATCCAAATTAACCCCTGGAGGCCTTTCCTGTCCATGGAAAGGCGGGAGAGAACACTCCAGCACCATGAAAAGCTCAGCTGAATAAATCAGCAGCACACCATAGAGCAGCTGCTGAGCTCCCTGCAGAAATTAAATGTTCTTGCAGTTCCTGTCCTGCTCAGTTTCTGGGCAGATTTTGTAATTTCTCCAGCCAGAGCATCCTCTCCTCTCCTCTTCCCTCTCACCCTGCTGAGACCCCTCTGGAAACATTCCCACTCCTCCAGAGTGACCAAGACCCAGCTGTACCAAAGCCCTGGGGTGGCAGCCACCACCAAACTCCTGTTCATCAGTCACTGTTCCTGTGCTGATCCTGATTGTGCAGCTCCTTCTCCTGCTGGGAAAATGTCAGGGTGGTTGTGAACACAGTGCTACTACACCTCCAAGAAAAGGTATTTTCACTTCATGGAATCACAGGATGGTCTGGGTTGGAAGGACCTTGGAGATCATCCCATGCCACCCCTGGGAAAGGGGAGGATTTTGTCCAGAGCAGCTGTGGCTGCCCCTGGACCCCTGGCAGAGTCCAAGGCCAGGTTGGACACTGGGGCTTGGAGCAGCCTGGGATTAGTGCAAGGTGTCCCAGACCATGGAGGCTGGATGGGCTTTGAAATCCCTTCCAATCCAAACCATTCCAGGATTCTAGGATTCCCTTCACACTTAAAAAACACCATTTATGAGCACTGAGGTCATCAGCTCAAGAGCAGAAAGCTCCAACACTGCTTTTTCAAGGCTGGGGTATCTTAAATCAACAGCTGGAATGGTGTGTTTGCCTTTCCCGAGGAGATAAGGCACAGAAAGGAGCAGGGAACACATCCACAGGTAGGCATTGTTCCCTGCCCAAGGAAATGCAGGCAAACACAGGGTCTGGGCCCCACACAAGGGCACTGCTCCCTCCCCTCACCTGCAAGGAGCTCTGGTGTGCAGCCACGTGAGGAGAGACAACAGCAGCAGGCTCTGCCATTCCCTGACAGCTCCACAGCTGGGATAACACAGCAGCAGGCTGCCAGGGATTCCTGGGACTGCCCTGCCAGGCACTGCCTGCTCACTGCCAGGTCCCCTCTGGAGATTTATTCCTTTCCAAATGGGAGGTGGTCATGAGCAGAGCCATGCCACAGTGGCTGCCCCAGCCCTGGCAGTGCCCCAGGCCAGGCTGGATGGGGTTTGGAGCAGCCTGGCACAGTGGAAGGTGCTCCTGCCTATGGCACTGGATGGGCTTTAAGGTCCCTCTCAGCCCAAACCATGATGGGATTTTGGGATTCTGGGCTCTGTGTGCAGCCTTGTCCCAGGGAATTCTGTCTGGTGAAGCAGATCAGGCTCCTGCAGATGGGAAAGAGGAGAGGGTCTGGCCAGATCCCACCTCAGGGATTGCTGTGAAAGCAATTCCCTGTGAACCCCAAATCCTCTGGGATCCTCTGCAGGCACAGCAGGCTCATTCCAGAGGCTCGTGTCCCTCAGGGAGGGTGCACCACATCCCAGAGCTTGGAATTAGCCCTGATTCCAGCCCCAGGATCTCTGCCCTGCTCTGCCTTGTGCAACACAGCCCCACAGGCGGCCCCAGGCACGTGGGAGGCCTGTGGTGGAGCAGGGAATTGAATGCCAGCCTGGATTGCAGCTCCAGCCCTCCCCAGGAAGCACAGCCGAGCCCAGGCTCTCAGGGCATTGTCTGCAGAGCACGGACAGCCCCAGGGCACCACAGAACATCCACAGAACAGCCACAGCATCCAAACCCCCTGGAGGTGTCCTGGCAGGCTGCACATCTCGCCCTGCCTGCCAAGAACTCCACCATTCCCACAAAATGGGGCTGGAGATATTCCTTTGGGGATTGCTGAACAACTCCAGCCACCAGGCCTTGGAAAGCACCGAGCTACTGAGTTATCTGAGTGCACTTAAATGTGACTTTTCTGAGCTAGAAAAGGGGTGTCACTCACCAAGGCCAGGCTGGATGGGACTCTGAGGAACCTGGAAGGTGTCCCTACTCATGGCAGGGCTTGGAATGGCTATGTATATATATATATATGAAGGTGTCCCTGCTCATGGCAGGGCTTGGAATGACATGATCTTTAAGGTCCTTTCCAACCCAAACCTGATTCGGAAGGTGTCCCTACTCATGGCAGGGCTTGGAATGGCATGAGCTTTAAGGCCCTTTCCAACCCAAACCTGATTCAGATTCTGGATCAACTCAAGGTTCCAACTCAAGCAACATCAAAACAATTTAAAAAACCATCAAGACCTTCATACCTGCCAAAGCAGAAGTTAAAAGATGAGTGATTCCTCCGGTAGCTCCTCACATACTCCAAAGTCTGGAAAACAGGAACAGAGCAGATGGGATGTTTCATTCACATTGGTTGGATTAAAATAATAAAAAAAAACACCAAAAAGCAAACCAGAAATGCCAGGGGCACATCAGACTCTTCCACCATGGCATCACCAGGGATCACAAAGATGATCCCACAACTGGAAGCCCTCAGCTCTGGAAACAGGCTGGAGAATTGGGATTGTCCAGCCTGGAGAAGGGACAATTCCAGGGAGACCTTAAAGCCCCTTCCAGTGCTAAAAAGGAGGGAGAGGGACTTTTTATATGGGCAGAGAGTGCCAAGACAAGGAGCAATGGTTTTAGACTGCCAGAGGGCAGGGTTGGATGGGATCTGGGCAATGAGGAATTGTTCCCTGGCAGGGTGGGCAGGGGCTGGGATGGAATTCCCAGAGCAGCCGGGGCTGCCCCTGGATCCCAGCCCAACTCTGTCCTGGGCTGGAAAAGAAGGGACTGGGGAACAAGGAGGGAGGGTGGAAAGCAAGAAAATCAGGGGGTGCAGAGCAAGGAAAGGGGATGGAGAGAAAGGAAAGGGGGCTGAAGAGAAAGGAAGGGGGACTGGGGAACAAGGAACGGGGATGGAGAACAACAAATGGGTGCTGGAGAGTAGGGGGAGAATAAGGAGGGGGGCCTGAAGGGAAAAGCAGGGAGTGAAGAACAAAAATGGAGGGCCTGGAGGGGAAGGAGGGCGATGGAGAACTAGGAAAGGAGGCTGGTGAACAAGGAGGGAGCGGTGGATATCGAGTAAGGGGGCTGGAGGGAAAGGAAGAGGCTGGAGAACAACAGCGGGGGGACCGAGAGCAAGGGCGGGTGGAGAGCAAAGAGGGGCTGGAGATGGAGGAAAGCGGGGTGAGCAACACGGAAGGGACTGGAGAGAGGGAAGGGAGGATGCATTAGACGGGAGAGGGCTTGGAGAGAAAGGACGAGGCCTGGAGAGCAAGGACGGGGTGGAGAAGGGGCAGCGGCAGGCCGGGCAGGGCAGGCAGCAGGCCCGGCCCGGGAGAGCGGCCGAGCCTGCGGGAGCGGAGCGCTCGGAGCTGGCGGCGATGCGGGCCGGGGTCCGCCAGAGCCCCGCGGGGCCGTGAGGGGAAGGAAGGGAGGGAGAAAGGGAGGAAGGAAGGGGCCCGGGCCGGTCCTACCTCCGGGCGGCCATGGCAGCAGGGGCGGCGCTCCCTCACGGAGCTCCCGGCAGCGGCAGCGCCGGGCCCGGCCGGGCCCGCTCCGCCCGCTCGGCTGCGGCGCTGGGCATGGCGGGGCTCGGCTTTTCTCCCTCAAAATTAACAGTTCTGCCCTAAAGCAGCTCCCGAAAGCACCGCGACGAGGTCCCAGAGACCGCCCGTGCTTATGCAGTGCCCAAGGCCAGGCTGGACACTGGGGCTGGAGCAGCCTGGACACCTTCCACTATCCCAGGTTGCTCCATGCCTTGTCCAGCCTGGCTTTAAACATTTCCAGGAACGTGGAGTCCACAGCCCCTCTGGGCAGCCTGTGTCAGGGCCTCACCACCCTCATACTAAAGAATTTCTTCCTAACATCTGACATAAACCTGCCCTGCTGCAATTTAAGGCCATTTCCCCTTGTCCTATCAGTTCATTACTATGTAAGAAGTGCCTCTGCAGCTCTCCTGGAGCCCCTTCAGGCCCTGCCAGGGGCTCTGAGCTCTCCCTGGAGCTTCTCCTCTCCAGGTGAGCACCCCAGCTCTCCCAGCCTGGCTCAGAGCAGAGGAGCTCTGTGAAACAGCTCTGTGTTCTCCTCTGGACTCTCCAGCATCTCCACCTTTTTCTGGTGTTGATCCAGGGGCAGCTCTGCAGGTGGGGTCTCACACGAGCTAAGTAGAAGAAATCCCTTCCTTCATCGTGCTGGTTTTGCACCTCCAGCACATCTGGAGTGTGATGGTATCAGCTCAAATCTCAAAACCTGTGGTCAAGACAAGCCAAAGGCTCCCAAAGAAAAGAAGCCCTTTGTCATTTATTATTTAACACGAGTGAAAATAGGAATCAGATCACTAAAAAGGAGTGGGAAGTGAGTGTGTGCAGGTATCAGGTCCTTCCTGTGATTCATTCCCTAATTGCTTCCTCAGTCAATGCGTGGAGATTGGAGATTTCACTGGACATTTTCAGGTTATTTTTAAAGTGGTTTTGAGTCACACAGTGTGGATCTAAATTGGCACTTTTGACCAGCACTAATTCACAGTTATTCTGAGGTGGAAACATCCAGATCTGCTTGTGGATTTAAAAAATGCTCAAATAATCAAGTTCTCCCTGTCATGGCTTTATTTCCCAAAGGACAGACTATCAAAGGGAAGCACAATCACAGACTTTTCTTGGACTTTGCCAAGATCCTCACGGGAACCATGACATTGATTTCCTCAGGACTCCATTATCCATTGACCTGTGTGTAAATTTAATCAACACTCCCACAGCTCTTTGGAATTCCAGTGAGTTCCCTCTGTGTGACTCCATGAATCCCTCACTGCTGGAGTTCCAGAAAGTCAAGGTGACTCTGGGCTTGTTTTATCCCTTGCCCCCAGGTTTTCATGGATCACACACTTGAGATCTTCTGGGTTCAGAACCTGGTTCTTGTACTTCTCCCCCCAGTCCTCCACGATGTACTGGTGATAGGGATCATTGGAGTGCTCCCTCCTCTTGGATTTCACAGTGCTCACCAGGATGGCCACGATGATGAAGGAGAACATCCCAATCATCACCATCAGGTAGAGGATAACGTAGTCAAAGTTTTCAGCAGCCACCTCAGCCTGCAGTTTATTCGCTGCTTCTGTCATGTTCCTCCTCCAGCTGTTCATGTAATTGAGGAAGGTTTCCTTGAAAATATCTTCCACTGCCCAAGTGAAGTTCTGCAGCTTGGCCATCCTTGCCAATTATGCTGCTAAAGACAAGAAAATATTCTTTTTACTCAGATGTCTGCATTAAAATAGTTGGTTTGGAGTATTTTGTCAGTGTTATGTCAATTATCTAGTAACAGCCATCTTCTGACACTTGAAGGTGCAGCTTTAGCTCAGCTGAGAATCTCCATCTCTGAGTGGTTCAGTATGTTCAGAGACCCAAGGAACTCCTACTCAGAACCATGGAATGGTTCTGTTGGGAGAGACCTCACAGCCCACCCATTCCCACCCCTGCCTGGCAGGGACACCTTCCCCTGTGCCAGGCTGCTCCAGCCCCAGTGTCCAGCCTGGCCTTGGGCACTGCCAGGGATCCAGGGGCAGCCCCAGCTGCTCTGGGAATTCCATCCCAGCCCCTGCCCACCCTGCCAGGGAACAATTCCTCATTGCCCAGATCCCATCCAGCCCTGCCTCTGGCACTGGCAGCCATTCCCTGTGTGCTGTCCCTGCATCCCCTGGAAATTGTCTCTCTCCAGGTTTCCTGGGGCTCCTTCAGGCCCTGCAAGGCCACCCTGAGCTCAGCCCAAAGCTTCTCCTGTGCAGCTGAACAATCCCAGCTGTGCCAGCCTTTCCTGCCAGCAGAGCTGCTCCATCCCTCTGCTCATCCTGGAGCCTCCTCAGGTCCCTTTGCTCTGTGGGACACTTTGGTGAAGGTCCCCATGGCCCTGTCACAGGGCTTGTGGCACTGTCCCTTCCCTACAGAGGGGAATCTCCAAGGGAAGAAGGATTCCTTCTGAGGAGAAGACAAAGCCATGGGAGGGACATGGGGGCTGAGACTCCATCCCTGGAGTGGCCTCAGGGACCATTTGGGACAGTCCCCCAAGGGGAAGAGACACTGCCTGGTACTGCAAAGCCATGTTTGATCCCATTTATCCCAAAATTCAGACCCCAGTCCTGCTCAGACCCATGAACCATGTGTATGTCACAGAGGAGGACAATCCCCCTCCAGCATTCCTTCCCACTCAGAGCCCATTCCCACCAGCTCTCATTCCCACCCAAAACTCACTCACACCCAAAACTCATTCCCACCAGAGCCTGTTCCCACAAAGATCCCATTCCCACACAGATCCTGTTCCCACAAAGATCCCATTCCCACACAGATCCGTTCCCACCCAGATCCTGTTCCCACAAAGATCCTATTTCCACACAGATCCCATTCCCACAGAGATCCCTTTCCCACCAGATCCCATTCCCACCCAGATCTGTTCCTACCCAGATCCCATTCCCACATGTGTCTCATTCCCACACAGATCCCATTCCCACCAGGTCCCATTCCCACCTGATCTCATTCCCACCAGATCCCATTCCCACACAGATCCCATTCCCACACAGATCTAACTCCCACCAGATGCCATTCCCACCTGATCCTACTCTTACCCAATCCCATTCCCACCTGATACCATTCCCACACAGATCCCATTCCCACCAGAGCCATTCCCACCTGCTCCCATTCCCCCCCAGGCTGTCCCACTTTAATGTGAACAATTCTTCCAGCTCTCCAGGCCAGCCAAGCCCTAAAACCTGTGGAAATCTTCCCCCAAAAGCCCTTTGTTCCCACTCCAATCCTCAAGAACAAGGAGCTGGCTGCATCCAAGGAGAAGAGGCAATGAATTTTCATTGCTAATAAAAAATTTGGGATGTTTTCCAATTCAGGAATTCAGGAATTCAGCCCTGTGTGCACACAAGGATGCAGGTACACGTGCACATGGATCCCTCTGCAGTTATTCCCTCACACATGCTCAAATACAGGGGATAAAGGTAATTAATGAAACTAAATGAGAAAATACAAATACAAACTGCCTGTACTGTCTGTAAAACCTGCTTTTTCCTTGATTTACATTAAAAATTGCAATCATTTTTCAAGAGGAAATAGACTTGTAGCAGCATCTTACCTTTGCTGTGTCCTTCCCTAAGGAGATTCAGAACACTCAGGATTTTCCAGCTCCACTGAATAATGGGATGAAACTCCCCAAAAGAGCAGGGATGTCTTTAAGGAGCCTGCACAAGGCTGGGAGCAGGTGCCTGTGAAATAAGTGCCTTGCACTGCACGCCTTATGTTTATATTAAATTAAAAGCTAAATCTAATCTCACCTGGAAAGTCAAATATTGGCTGACAGCTTGCATCAGTCATCCTGTCGGATCTGGGACTGAGCCTTTGTGCTGATTGCTGCAAGTTTAGATACTGGAAAAGAGCTTTCCTGGGGTTAAACTGGGGTGCAGCTCCATTTTTGGTGAGCCAGAAGAGTAAAGATGAGCTTGTAAAATAATAATAATAATAATATTAAGAATTATTAGAGAAGAATTCTTGGCTGTGAGGGTGGGCAGGCCCTGGCACAGGGTGCCCAGAGCAGCTGTGGCTGCCCCTGGATTCCTGGCCATGCCCAAGGGCAGGATGGGGTTTGGAACAACCTGGCACAGTGGAATGGGATCGTCTTTAAGGTCCCTTCCCACCTGAATCATGCCATGTTTCTATGAATAAAGCAGTGTCACCAGCAGTGATAAGAACAATCATTTCCTTTGCTGATCTGGGCACAAGAGGTGAGCACTGAGCAGTCAGGCTGCTCAACAACCAAAGTTTGAGTTTTCCTTTCCTTTCCTTTCCTTTCCTTTCCTTTCCTTTCCTTTCCTTTCCTTTTCCCTTCCCTTCCCTTCCCTTCCCTTCCCTTCCCTTCCCTTCCCTTCCCTTCCCTTCCCTTCCCTTCCCTTCCCTTCCCTTCCCTTCCCTTCCCTTCCCTTCCCTTCCCTTCCCTTCCCTTCCCTTCCCTTCCCTTCCCTTCCCTTCCCTTCCCTTCCCTTCCCTTCCCTTCCCTTCCCTTCCCTTCCCTTCCCTTCCCTTCCCTTCCCTTCCCTTCCCTTCCCTTCCCTTCCCTTCCCTTCCCTTCCCTTCCCTTCCCTTCCCTTCCCTTCCCTTCCCTTCCCTTCCCTTCCCTTCCCTTCCCTTCCCTTCCCTTCCCTTCCCTTCCCTTCCCTTCCCTTCCCTTCCCTTCCCTTCCCTTCCCTTCCCTTCCCTTCCCTTCCCTTCCCTTCCCTTCCCTTCCCTTCCCTTCCCTTCCCTTCCCTTCCCTTCCCTTCCCTTCCCTTCCCTT